AACTCGTACGAAAGACCAGAAACTTTCCACCTAACTCTTAACTTTCAACTGTCAATTACATGCTACAACTAAATTTTCAAGTTCTGGCGAGGCAAAATTGAGAACATGTCTAGATACGTTTTCTTGAGTTAAATAAAAGTCATATTTTATTGACTTGTATGGATATTTTTTTAACTGAACTTACTATAGTGGATAGTAAGCTCCTTATTCATTGCAGCGAATAATACGCTACGATACGTCATACAACATCCTTACTTGCCAAAATCTCGTCAACCGGGGGGATGTTGTCATGGTGTCATGGTCATTTCAAACGGCAAACAATTTTGCGGGCACAAAATTTTTTTTAAACTACACCAAGTAAGACAGTCGTGGATTAAGTAGAATAGTATTCTACTCACACATATTGAGTGTTATTCATTTGCATGAGTTTTGTTACACTCGACTACGGCTCGTGTCGTAAACTTCATCCGTGTGGATAACACCTAACTTTGGAGACACTTCTCAAATTCGGTTTCCGTAATCACAAAAAGGAAAAAAAGGTCTTAAAAAGTGGACACACTCTCCACCTATCTAAATACAGTGACGGATTTCTAGAACTATGGAAAATATTTTAGACTCAATTGATGTGAAGATACCTCAAATGCAGCAAATTATTTCGTAGAATTTCCAAAAATGATTCGAAATGTAATTATCGATTTTTCTTTACATTTACACCTTATTCAAGGCGTCCCGAAAACTTTACATTAACTCAGTGCTTATTTCATCCAACAATTTTATCATTTCCTTGTCTGTAGGGGCTGTAGAACGGCTTTCGGACCAGCCTGTAATACAAAATTCCATAAGTGCCCCCCCTCCCCCCATTAAAGATTCCATACTGCCTCCTCGCTGGCCCCCCTGCTTTTCAAGTTTCAAGTTTTTTTTCTAGTCATCGTTTGCGCTTGGTTGCTCACCGAATACCTTCGTTTGCGCCCCAGCCGTTTTTCCGTTAATCCAATTGAAAAATTCCATAACTGCCCCTCTCCCCACCATTTTTCAAATTTGACTTTTTTCCTGTGATCATTTGCGCCCCCGCCGTTATTCAGTTTTTCCAAATTCAAGATTCCATACTGCCCCCTCGCTGTCCCCCCTTGTTTTCAAATTTCAATTTTTTTTCTAGTCATCCTTTGCGCTGAGTTTACCGCACGTTTGCGCACCGAATACCTTCATTTGCAACCCCGCCGTTTTTCAGTTAATCCAATTAAAAAAGTTCATAACTGCCCCTCTCTCCACCATTTTGCACATTTGACTTTTTTCCTGTAATAGTTTCCGCTTTGTTTGCGCATATTTGCGCCGAAATACCTTCGTTTGCGCCCTCGGCGTTTTTCAGTTATTCCAAATAGAAGATTTCATACAGTCCCCCTGTTTTCAAGTTTGACTTTTTTTTTAGTGATTGTTTGCCTTTTTTTGCGCACCGAATACCTTCGTTTGCGCCCCCGCCGTTGTGTAGTTATTCTCAATACAAAATTCCAAATTTGACTTTTTTCTAGTGATCGTTTGCCTTTTTTGGGCACCGAATACCTTCGTTTGCACCTCCCTTCGTTTTTCCGTTAATCCAATTAAAAAACTTCATAACTGCCCTTCTCTCCACCATTTTTCAAATTTGATTTTTTTCCTGTGATAGTTTGCGCTTTGTTTGCGCCGAAATACCTTCGTTTGCGCCCTCGCCGTTTTTCAGTTATTTCAAATAGAAGATTTCATACTGTCACCCCTGTTTTCAAATTTGATTTTTTTTTAAGTGATCGTTGGTCTTTTTCTTGCGCACCGAATACCTTCGTTTGTACCCCCGCCGTTTTTCAGTTATTCCCAACACAACATTCCATAACTGCACCTCTCTTTTTCAAATTTGACTTTTTTCTAGTGATCTTTTGCCGTTTTTTGTGCACCGAATACCTTCGTTTGCGCGCCCGTCGTTTTTCAGTTATTCCAAATACATTGTTGCATTATAAACATTATTTATTTGATATTTTATGAGTGACCGCTAGATAGCGTGAAACATACATAATTCCATAACTGCCCCAACCCCCATTTTTCAAATTTGTTTTTTTTCTTGTGATCGTTTGCGCGTTTGTTTGCGCATGTTTGCGTCCCCAAATACTTCGTTTGCGCCCGCACCGGTGTTTTCAGTTTATTCAAGATTCCCTACTGCCCCCCTCCCCGTTTTATTTGACTTTTTTTCTAAGTGATCTTTGGCGCTGATTTGCGCAATTTTGGCGCACTGATACCTTTGCCCCCCCGCCGTTTTTCAGTTATTCGCAATACATAATTCCATTACTGCCCCGCCCATTTTTCAAATTTTTCTTATTTCCTGTGATCGTTTTCGCATGTTTGAGTTATTCCAAATACAATATTTCATACTGCCCCCCCCCCCTGTTTTCTAATTTGACCTTTCCCTCTAGTGATCGTTTGCGTTTGGCTTGCGCACCGAATACCTTCGTTTGCGCTCTCGTCGTTTTTTGACAGTTATTTCAAATACAAGATTCCACATGTACATTCGTCTTAGTGTATTTTCCTTCATTTCTGTTTCTTTGAAATCTTCTTTGTGTCTTCCTCATACCTCCCCCCCCCCACAATAATTTCCTGAGATGTTGTTTTTAAATGTGAAAGGTGCAGATCAGTAGGTGGCCAGGGGAAGGAGGGAGGAGGTAGACATTAATTTTATCTTTCATGGTATTCCAATTAAAGCTCCCAACAAAGGGAACGGTTTTCTACCAACTACCGCCCTACTTTCTGACCCCTTATCAAAAGATGGGTTGGGGGGGGGGGGGGACTTGGTTTTATTCTTCATGGTAGTCTACTGAAAGGTCTCAACGAAAGGAATTAACTTCTACCAACCATAGCATCCTCCTCGACTCACCGTATCGTAGCCAAATATATAAGTATATAATTCCTTATATCTCAAGAACAGATTGTCGGAGGATGGTACTCACAAGGACGATTGGGACGTCTGGAACAATTATATCTATTGTCAAAGTCAAAACTTTACGAGTGAAGTCTATTATCGCTTGTCCCCTCTTCTTTTCATGCCTGCTTCGTACTCACCTCTTACGTTCACATGGCCGTCCTTCGCGCCTTTAACATTATTCGGGCTTTTTTTAATTTCGCCTTTCATAAAGCACTCTTTGCTAGCTTACTCTGACTTTTTTTTAACGTAAACTAACTTCTCACTTGCTTTACATTCTCTTTACCTTTGTCACGTTGCCGTTCTCATTTTACCTCCCATCACGTTACTTCCATTTGGAAGTCTCTATCTTTCATACTTTGTTCCTTCACACCTATCTCGTCACGCTTCATTCGAACTTGCTCCGTACCTTCTTTATACCTTCTAAGGTCCCTCCTTCATACCTTTTTCACATTTCCTTCTTTCACGCGTCTTATTCTTTATTTTTTTATTTACAACTGCTTTCGCGTCTTCCTCTTTTCACACCTCATTGTTTTACATCGATAATCTTCAACCATCCCTTACGTTGCAAGTTTCGATCACGTCTTCTTCAATTGAGCCTTTCTCCTTCACGCCTAGTTCTTTCGCGTTTTCTTCGAACCTCCATCACGGCTCCTTTTTTCGTATCTCGCCAAAAGAGGTGTTGCGGTAACCCTATTATCTCGAACCTACTGTATATTTGTCATATGGCGTGTCGGAACGTACTCTCAAAAGGAAAATCTCACACGACGCGTTTTATGCATTCAACATATCAGTAAGAGCATGGTGTCGGAAGTATAATATTAAACAAGTGAGCGGTAATGCGATTAATGGCCGTTTGATGCACCGACAAATTTAAGGAGAGCTTAGCTTAAGCGTAGCTTAAAATCCATGGCAACGATTATTGAGACAATGGTTGTCATTTTAAGCTACGGTTAAGCTAAGCTCCGCTTAAATTTGTCGATGCAAACGGCCATTAGTGGTTAGGTTAAATTAAGTAATCAAAGATGCACATAATAAACCGAAAAAATTCGTTAAGTCGCTTGTGAGCAAGGGGCGAAGAGTGAACTTTCAAACTTGTTTTTTTCGATTTTAATAGCCATTATGGACATTTCATGCCTCAACGAGAATACAAACATGAAATAATTTTTAATTTCTGATCGAATGACACCAATACCAAGTCTGTAAGTGGTATAGTTCCGGAACATTTGTGACAGACAGACAGAAAGACAGGCTTCAAGAGCGCAAAAGTGCACTTTTTATTTTTTTAAAGTGAAAGTGCACTAAAAAGAAACAATTGAAACAGAGAGAATCCATAATTACTTAAGCTAACTTTTATATGTAACCGATTGAAATTACAACAATCTTACGCAACAGTACCTGGACTGGATAAACTATCCGGCCCTCGTGATTGTTGAGGTATAAATGATCTACACTCAAACGATATTTTCCAAGATATTGGATCTTCCGAAAGTAGGACATCTTGGAAAATTTGGCAAAAAAAATTGGGAGGTTATTGAAATCACTCCAAAATTCGATTTTGA